CATATTTTAGTTTTAAAACTATATTTACACAGAAGGATTTGAAGCATCTCTAGCTGCCATGATATGTCATCATGGGGAGTTGTGCATGTGCGGAGCTGACAGGACTCCTGAGTACTGGGTTTGGCAGGTGGATGGCAAAGACATTTGGGTACACAGCACAATGGAGACAAGATTTCCATGGGCTACAGCAGAGCAGGAAGAGGAGAAGCAGCTTTGCAGATGGAAGCATTCGCTTCCAGAGCACGTAACGAGTAACAGCACGCGTTTTCAAACAGAAAGAGCATACAAGCACACCTTGTGCCATGTAACCTTCATTCCTGCAACTGGAGTTAATGAAGCTTTGCTGAGAGCAGAGGAGGGACACTTGTGCATTTGTTACGTTGGTTATTAACACCTAGTTCACTTGTCCTACCTTGGGAAACAGATGGCAGCTCAGGCAAGGTGGATGTCAGGATATCACGGGGGCTGGGTGATAGTGATGGTTGGCTGCTCCTTGGCATCACTGTCCCACAGAACTCATTGTGGCTTTGGTCCCTACATGTTGCACTCAGCAGAGCACAGCCTGGTTGGGGGTTTGGGGAAAGACTCAAATCTTCCTTCCAGACAAACACAGCAGGAATTCAGACACAAGGAGCAGCCCGGATCCATCACAAGTCTCATTCAGTACAGGACCAAAGAACTGACCAAGAGGCTTTGCTCCCACCTTCCTTGTGGGGCACAGGATTTCTGAGGGGGCCATTCAGACCAGTGCTTGGGATGTGCTAACAGCAACTCTGCCAGCTCCGCTCCCTCCTCTTATTCTGAAATATCTCTGTGTCAGTCACAGCCCACTTGCCATGATAATACTGCTTCTCATTGCAAATTTAGCAGCTGCTGTTGCTCTGCGTGCTCACAGTTCAGCTGAGGAAGGGACAGATTCATCCCAAGGGAGAGAAAAGAGCTTCCACACCGAAGATTTAGAGTGGGTCCCACGAAATTATTTAGGAAAAATTTACAACGCAAGCCAAGGTTTTACTAAAATCTGAATTTTTATGGGGCTGCTTCCTATTATATTAAAAGTGACAGGCTTTCTAAATCTGCCTGCGAAGCTGCAGCACACACATAAAAACAGCTCAGTTGCCACTAAAGGACATTACCATCTGCCCAAACCACTGAGAGCAGGTCAGACATTGAAAGCTGTTATAATTTTCTCTCCTAGAAGAAAGATATATCCTGCAGATGTTGCTTAGAAATGATACAAGACCTCCCCAGGGAGCTGGGTGCCTTCAGTAGCAATATTTGCTCTCCCCAACTTTCAGCTGAGATTTAATTCACAAGTCCAGTAAACCCAAAGTAATGCTTTATTATCATTTCCTCTTCATTCCTGGTCCACCCAATGTTTCCAATTCATCAGTTAAACAAACAAAAAATACCCCAACTGAACGGATCCAGCCCATATTGGTGCCATTTTGCAAGAATCAGATTTGATTTCACATCTCTCATTACAAAAGAATTTAAAAGTCTTGAGGTTTTCAGCCAAAATATAAATATAAAAATGTCAAAGTAATGGGAAGGGATAACAAATGACTAGAATCAGTCAAATTAATAAAAGCATAAAAAGGCAGCAAGAAGACTACAAAAATACTTTAGAGCATTGTGGTCTCTATTTCCAAGTGCTGCACCTTGCTCAGATGATGGCACTTTCCCCACCAGCCAGGCTTCCTGTCTTCATTGTGCTACATCCAAAACAAAAATTTTAAGAAAAACTAAGAACGGGATAAAAAGGTAAAAATAAGGCATGGATAATCTTTGATGAGATCAGAAATGAAATTAAGAAGAAATCTATGTGAATGGAGCAAGGCCAGCCCTCAATATAATGATTAAAAGATAAAGGCTCCTTCTGGAAATGGTTTGGGAACAGACTGATGCTTATACAAATGACCAAATTCGATCACTGCTGAGGAAGGACACATAGCATCACTCCCTCCTCCTGCCAGATGCCATCATTTGCAGCCCTCAGCTCATATGCTGGTTTCAGCTCTCCAAACTTGATTCTCACTTGAGCAGTAACTTACTCAGCAACGCCTTGTCCTTGCCTTGCTTCATCAGCTCTCCCTGCAAGCTGCTTGCTGTTTGTAGGGAGCACCGCTGCAGAAAGGCAGAGCTGGATCGGGTGAAAGGAGACGGCAGAGGCAGCTGTTGGACTGACAGCTCCTCCTGCTCCCCCCCACCCTTCCTCTACAGGAGGCTGATGCAAGCACTCAGCACATCTCTGTCACTGCATAATAATGATGATAATTAGCAGTAATAACAATAATCTGGATGTAAAGCTGCTCCAGCACTTGGTGCTAATGGAAGCTGCTTCTAATAGCAGCCTTGCTGGAAGCTGTGTTGGGCCACCAGCTTCATGCTGCTGTTTGAATCTCAGGCAGAAGCCTGAAGCCTGGACATGTGAAGACCAGGAGATGTGCTGGCCACTAGCTGGACACACTGGCAACTCAATGACAGCTGTTAACCCATTGGTCTGGAGTCATTAGGGCAAAGAAAGGTTCAATACCTTCTGGACTTTCTGCTTGGAAGAGCTGATGTCTAAGACTGATGGTCTTTAGTGGGTGGTTGGACTAGATGATCTTAGCAGTCCTTTCCAACCTTAATGATTTGATCATCCCAATAAAGGAATACAAGCAAAAACTATTTTATGGGCTTTCTCTTGCCCATAGCCACTAGATACAGTGCAAATCTACCATTGCTTTTCCCCAAATCACCCTAAGGAAAAAATCTCAGTACCTTGTCAGAAGCCCCATTATGTACAGAACAGCTGATGCCCTCCTGGGTCATGCCCGTATCTTTAGTTACATCCAAAGTTTCTCCACTGAGATTAGGCACAGCTTTAATTTTTCATTTACTCACTCTGATGCGTGCTCATTAATTAGCTCATTAATTCTTTAGGAATTACATGCTGTGGAAAATGTACTAAGTTGTCAAAAGCAACTCAACTATTAGTACAAGAATTCAAGAAAGACTAATTGATACATACATCAGAGCACTGTCTAAAAGGTGAAGAACCCAGCATAATGCCTCCTGCCATTACTTCCTTTGTACTTAAGTTCTGGAATTAATTGGCAACTTGGTTTTTCCTTCTTAAAACAAACAAATGAAAAAAAGAACAAAAAAAAACCCAAAACAAACAACAACAACAAAAAAAAAAACCAACCACAAACCAACACAACAAAACCAAATGCACACACAGAAAAGGGAAGCATTTGTGGAGAGAGAGCATCTACTGGATTTTTTGTTATGGTTCAGGATAAAAATGAGCCCTCATTCTCAGCTACATCTCCAAGCCATGTCTTTGGCCGTGAACCCCAGATACTCTCAGGTGAAGTGTGAATATTCCCTCCCCTTAATCACTGCTGGTGTTGGATATATCTACACCACCACAGCAAACAATGCAAAACCTATTAAAGCATTTTTAAAAACTTTTCTCAATTTGTAGCACTTAGAAAAAAAAAGATAAATTCCAGTGTTGTCCTGGCTATGGTGGTGCCTAAAGTGCTTGTAGGCTGTTGGAGAAGGAAGGATTTTCCTAAAGGTCTAATATTAGTGTTCTGCTAGAAGAAAAAGGAATCACTACGGTTCCTCTTCAAATCAATGATATTTACTTGCCTTTAAATATGCAGTGTACTTTACACCTTTAAATGACCTTAAGGAATAATTTCTAGGAACAACAGAAAATCCATTTCCATTAGTTTCCAAAGTCTCAGAAAGTATATATGTTGAGGATCACTGCCATAAATTCACCTTTTAGAGTCACTGGGTAACTCAGAATTTATGCAAGAGCAGGTCAGTCAAATAATTCTGTGTTTATACTCTCCCTGTCAAGTTCTGGAGAACCACAGCAAAGTGCTAAAAATAAAATAACCTGCGCTGTAATTTGCAGAAGATTTAGAGATGGAACTATTATGATAGCCCAAAATAAAAGGTTTTATGCATGAGAACTCAATGGATAGGTCGGTATCTAAATCACATATTGATTAAACTCTCTGTAGACAGGTTATATATGCTTTGGAATTATGTATCCTTGATCAATGCACTTTCAAAATGAACTTCTGGCTGATTTAATCATTTGAGCAAGTGAAGAAGTCACATAAATATCTCTGCGTTTTACTTTACAGGACAGTTAACCAATTTCTAATCAAATCAGTAAGTAAACAGCATTATTTGCTTCCAACAAATATCAATATTAAAATAGTTCTCAAAGAAAGTCTCAAAACAGACATGAAAAAAGATAAAACACTATATATTAAAAGCACACCCATTATGTTTATACGTGTACAAATGTGGTGATCAGAGATGGAGAAGCAAACACAAATCCCTTTGTGATACCCAGTGATGGAGAGTCCTAGCACCGCACCGAGAAATCGGTTCGAAGTCTCAAACAGATAAAAGAGTTGGATGTGGTGGCCATTTCACTCCTCTGAAGTGCTAACCATGGCTCCTATCACTACTTTCTCACACAGCAGGACAAATGCACTGACCCCAGTGTGAGAGGGAAGCAGTAATGAATGCTCACACCGACACGTGCAGGTCTCACAGTGGTTTAAACAGAAGAAGTTGCTCTTGGGTTAGAAATAGGGAAACTGAGGCACAGACAAGCAAAATGGTTCCCTGAAAGGCACAGGGCAAGCTGAACAAATGCCAAGAACTTTCTTCTGAGTGCCCCAAACTGCCGTGTGCAAAACTCTAAGTTAGTGCTCAAATCCCATTTGTGTCAGTGGGATTCAAGCTCAAGGACCGACTGACCTCACTTACAGCTGCCTCAGCTCCAGCCACACTGCCCTGCTTTTCCCAAAGCTCTGGTTTCCCAGCCAATCTGGGGGCAGTTCCACCGAGAAGATAAAAAAGGGACTCAGTGCTTTTCAGGGCGTTCTCGGCAATAAAAACCAACACCAACGCTGTGCATGTGTCATTCCTGGCAGCAAGGAAACAAGAGATTGCCAATAAGGAGGGAAGCCACTTACCATACAGCACTGCAATGAGCGACACGGGCATGACCAGGATACCCACCAGCATGTCTGCCACCGCCAAGGACATCAGGAAGAAGTTTGTGGCGTTCTGCAACTTCTTCTCCAAGGACACAGCCATAATTACCAGTATGTTGCCCCCGATGGTAAGCAGGATGATGACCAAGATCAAGAGGGCTGGCCAGTTCTTCTCTCTCACTGACATCCGAGAGACTTCACCCTTCTCAGAGGCATTGAGAGGATCGGATGTAGGTAAACTCTGATTCAGAGTCAAATTGGTGCTTAAAGACCAAGCCATCAGACCACCATGCAAGCTAAAATCCAGCGTAACAGACACTGTTGTCAAGCTGAGTAATATTCCAGTGCTACTTAAAGTGCTCATCATCTGGGACTGCTTTATCTGTCTCTTAACCGTGCCGCAGAGGCGATCCCTTTTCCAAATTGTGGGTCCAAAGCAGACGTCGAACTTCACAAAACCTGAGCCAGGAAATCATTTGATCTCCCATGGTGAATCAGACCTTACAGAAGTCAGCGCGGAGCTCCTCTGGTTCCCCTGGGAGCTGCGGAAGGCTGACCAACAGCCTTGAGGGGCAGTAAGCTTTGCAATCTCCAGCTGAATCCCAGGTCCACCATTCTGAAAAGGAAAGAAAAATTGCATTCTTAACCGAAATCACAGGGCATACAGCACCTTTTTTTTTTTTTTTAAATCCTCATGCAAGTGACATTCTTATTCTCTCTTCCTGCTGGCTAGGACGTTCTCCAGACTGCACGTAATTTATCTTGTAGGTACAGACTATGCCTATAATCATGGGGGAGAGAAGGAGAGAATCACATCAGTGTGCTCTGGCTGGTTAAAAGCTGATTATCACTAATTAAATGTTTTGTGAAATCTGCAAAGGCAAATGCGAAAAACAAAATATGTTGCGGTTGATAGCCACTTCACAGATACTCTGCCACTGTGTAAAACAGTAATTGCATGAAATTTCAACCAACCCAGACTGTACAGCACAGGGTAAACCATCTTAAGCTGGGAGTGGTTGGATATATCTTGCATATTTTGAGGAAAAAGCACACAGTTGTTGTAGAACACTCAGATGTTAGAGATGAACTCTCCCATAGTAATGAAGACCACACTTTGTCTTATTTGGAAACAAACGGCACAGAAAACCCAATATACATCAGGTGACAGCATACAGGGTTACACTGCCAACCTCTCCAAACAAAAAGATAACGTAAAGAGGGTGTGTTCCCAGCCTTGGCTAAATCACATCCTCAGGAACACAATTGTTTTGGCTGCCAATAGCATTCAACAGATGAAAACAGCAGTGCATTTCCAGCACGTCAGAATCCAAGATCCCAACAACGGGGAAGACTTGGTGGTGTACAGAGTAGGACCCAAAGCACAGAAGGAGAGCAGTTAGCACAAGAAGGAAACGTGCACTGCATAGAAGAAGGCCACGAGGTAGAATAAATCAAATAGCATGAAATATCCTCCTGAACTTTTTGTATAACCCACAAGAAAAGAGACTCTGTCATTACTAAACAAATACACAAAGGCAGATTTTAGCCCTTTCCTTGATTACATTGTGTTACACAGCAATTTGCTATTCAGGGATCAAAAGCTAAATGCAACGTATGGGATTACATGAGATTTTACGTAAAATAAGAAGTGTTCAGAGTCCTATAATAAAATGTTTAACATTTATGGAGGTTTTGGAAACTTACTAATGGGCTTCATGCAGAAAAACGTTTCTTAAATGAGCAGTGTGTACAATGAACCCAGATTTGCTTCTGCATTATAGTTAATTACTCCCCAAGGGTCTCTAAACCTCATATTTAGGAAGAAGTTTTTGCACTATGTGCACAGAAAATAATTTCACAGCTGCACATGAGGATGAATTAGCGAGTAATCGTTGGGCCATTTATTTTTCCAACATCTCCAGTCTAAAACAAATCTATAGAAAGTTTCCAAAGACTTGGGTGTATCTTTTTTTCAGAACACAGCCATCGCTGCAAAGCTGTGAACAAAACACTCTTCCTTCACTTTGGCACAGTGATTTGGGGGCACAGCATCGTAGCACCTGAGCTGTACTGTGCAGCACAGCTCCAATGGGAACCCCCATTGGTATCCAGAAATGCTCTCTCTTTGGCTCTCTGGCTCTTGGGCCATCTTGTCACACGAATGGTTTGGGCAGGGCAAGAAGAAAGATCATGTCTGAACTCGAGGAAATAGTTTCTGCGCAAAGTTAGTTCTGCAGGCCTGGTACATGCTAAGAAATCACTGTTCTAACAATGAACACATTTCCCAATGATCCTCATCCTCACGCTCCTGACATGCACGTGTTCTACATGGAAGAGTAGAATTACGCTACGGCATTCAGAAATGAAACGTTCAGAGTTAGGACTGTGAGGACAGAAATGAATCTCAGAATGCAAAGTTGGTCCTTTCCATTAACGGGAATTAGAACTTACTTTAAAAGCTGGCCCACTCACCTGTCTACAATTCAGAGTGACTCAAAGAGAACCATTCCCATTCACGTGCCAATAGAGAGCAAGCAAAAGAGAGGGAAAACAGGAAGGCACCTGAGAAAGAAAACGTTTTCCTGTGTGCACTCGGAAGATCCAAAGTGCAATCCCATGAATAACTATATACACATGTAGAAAAAGAAGTATGGAAAAGAAGCAGTGAACTAGCAGGAGCTCTGCCTTACCCTACAGCCCCCCAAGCCATGGCTGATGTGGATGGAAGATATTGACCTTGCTCCAGTTTTACTGGCTGTAGAATTGCTGCTATTCATCCCGGAACAATATCAGGCTTTCTAGTAGCCAGAACAACCAGAGCGATCAGGATAATGAGAGCATTCAGAAGAGGCACAGGTTTTATCCAAGACTACAACGGTAAAAATAAATTATCATTTAGAGAAGAAAAGCATCCTTAAATCAATAGAGGAAGGATTTTGCCTATATTCGTTTTGAATAATGATACGCGAGAGTCTGACAACACCAATGCTGAAGACAGAGCTCCACCTTCAGAATTAATAACCTTATTGCTCCATTAGTACATTTAATTTTATTTTTTTTACATGGATTCTGACTGGAAGTCATTAGCTTTCTTTTTCACAGCATCACAGTCTGCACAAGTTACATTTTTATGACTAATTCCATCAGCCACAGCCTTCTAGGCACATTACTGTACCAGAAAAATAATTCACATTTTATTCATGAATTCTGGGTATGTTTAAGGAATATTTCCATAATTTTAAAATAAAATCTGTGCCTACCACACATTTTTCCGCTAGCTAACTTGATAGCATGTATGCTAAATTTTGTGATCAATCATCAATTTCGATTCAATCCACCAGTGACAGCCCTTAAGATGGTAATTTAAACATTGGCCAAAGCTGAATTCCTCATCTTTGACGGAGGTGAGAAGCAAGTTATTTGGGCAGGGCTTTTCCTTTCCGTCTTCAAGTCCATTTTAGGATAAACCAAAGCTAGAAAACAGCTCTTGTTTCCCTTCTATCAAACCCACATGCATTACTTAAAACAGGAGTTGGGTACACCAACACTTCCAGATACTCCAGAATGAGAAGTCAAAGGGAAACCAAAGCTATGGCAGTTCATAAGTCTCTACTGGTAGGGCACTGGGGGGGTTCACACACCTTGGAGAGCATGTACTGCTATTGCTCTATTGCTAAAAGGAAAAACAGAAAAGAAAATACAACTTTCTTGGAAAGAAAACTTTTTTTTTTTTTTTCCTTTGAATTAAATGCATTCATCTTTAGCTATTTTACCCTTCAACACTCAGAACAATTTTTTGTTTTTCTTTTTGCTACAGAAAATCAGCTGCCTGCTGAGCAACTCGAGGCATTCGGCAGCCCCCAGCCAGACCACGGAGCTGCCGAGCTCCCATAAATCCTTTCTGCTCCAACTCTCTGGGACTCGGAGCTTAAAATTGGGTAAGAAATCAAGAATGGCCATTTAGCCTTAAAAAAAAAGAGCCAGCAGTCTCACAAAGACTCTGAGAAGAAAATAATATGCAGATTGTTCCAAAAGTAATGCCTCCTCAATTTTTTTTTCCGTAGAAACAACAACAGATATAAAGAGCACAGTAGCACAGCTTGATAGAGCACATTCCCAATTATAAAGCACTATTTTCAACACTGCCATCACCATGAGCTGTGCGTTTTCATGCAGCTTGTAAAAATCTGCACCAACAAGATGCCCCACCATCATCACTGCTGAAACAAAGCACCCACATCCACCAATTGGGCTTTATAAACATTCTGCAAGCGCTGATGAACATCAAAAGGCATAATTTTTTGCTTATGGAGGAATTTAATTCCACCCCTTTGCTTCATCTGCGCTGCCATGTCTGTTGCTATTTTGCCAGACCGCCCCTCTGCTGCCATCTGTCACACAGCAACAAAAATGTAACATAATATTGGTGGGAAGGTTCCACCTCTGCTGCCAGCCCATCAATATCTATCCCTGACACTGTGTGCTAACAACATAAAACAGGAGGCATTACTTTCGGAGCAGCCCTCTCGTATTAATTATTAGAGTATTGTAGTAAAAGAAACGGGAGTACCTCATGATCCAAAGTGATGAATTTCAGCAGCTCCCTCCTAACCAGGACAGTAAGCGTTGTCCAGTGCCTCAAAGGACATTTGTCCTATAGCTACCAGTGCCACTGAATTCTCTGAACCTCATCCATGCTTCATTGGTAGGGAGATCAACGTCCACAAACTGCTAACGCTCGAAATATATTTTTAAGCCAAATGTTTTTTTTTTGTTCAGCCTTGGCGTTGATGGTAGATCACAGAATCCTACACTGGCCTGGGTTGCAAAGGAGCACAATGCTCATCCAGTTCCAACCCTCTGCTGTGTGCAGGTCGCCAACCAGCAGCCCAGGCTGCCCAGAGCCACATCCAGCCTGGCCTTGAATGCCTGCAGGGATGGGGCATCCACAGCCTCCTTGGACAACCTGTTCCAGTGCCTCACCACTCTGTGTGTGAAAAACTTCCTCCTAGATCTCCATCAGGTTAAAAATAAATCTGAAGCTGATCACACTGAACTGTGAGTACTGCCATTTCTGACAGGAAAACAGTTGCACATAGTTCACAGTTATGTGAGCCAGAGAGTCAGCTGGTGTAAATGGTTACAGCTGCACAAAGATACTTACAGAATGGCAAATAACTTTAAATGATATCACAGGATACACAGTTTATGCTCCGGAAGGAGATCTAAGGCTTTGCTCTTCACCTTTAATTCCATATTCCCTATCACTCTCGCCTTTACCTATTTATTGTTATTAAACTGGTGGTAAATTCATTCCCATTTCTCATTGCAACAGAACTCTATTTTTAGGCATCTACAGCTAATCTTTCTCCTTTTTGTCGCATCACAATGAGCACAACTATTTCTGTGCAGACCTATTTATAAATGGTCTATGAGAGCCCAGCCAGTCCGACAGAGACCATCAGTGTGTCTGAGGCAGAAGCACCTGAAACAGTGGGTTTGGTTCAGCATTAGGATTGCTTCAGCCCAAGGAAAAGGCAGAGAACAGATGTATACACTGCCTGTAGCTGGAGAAGATCATAGAATCACAGAATCATAGAATGGCCCAGGTTG